TACATACTATATATATATATATAGTGGGGTCAAGTGGTACGATCGAGTCAGTAATGCTCAACTGTGGGAGAGAACAAGCCAAAGGCCAGCAAAGGAAGATATTCAGGTGAAGAAATGGAAATGGATTGGACACACCCTGAGGAGACCCCCGACAAGCATCATCAGGCAGGCTTTAACGTGGAACACACAAGGAAAGCGTTAGAAGGGAAGACCAAAGATGACATGGAGGTGAGCAGTACAAGCGGAAATTGAAAAAGCGGGGACATCATGGAAACAGAAAAGGTTGCTCAGGACAGGTTTCGCTGGAGTAATGTTGTTTATGGCCTGTGCTCCACTGGGACTTAAAAAGGGCAAGATATATAAATATTGAAACTGGCTAACGTGTACCTTGAACTTACTTTAATGCGCCTACGCTTGTTAAGTTTTCATGCTCCGTAAACCCGTTTCCGGACTCCAAGATATATTTTATCGACAACAACCGGTACAACCATACCGGGCTCCACCAGATCAGAACTTGGCATGATAGGTATGGCACTGAAATAATTTCCTCTGGACGGAAGTAATGTGTTCCTCTCAAGGTCATCTTCTCACTGCTGGGGTCGCTGTTTGTATTTCCAAGGCCAAGCTTTGCAAGTAATGAATTGATTTGCCTGCCCCGATGTTGGGAATACGTTCTGCTCACTGGCCAAGCCTTGACTGAGAAGTCAATCTCGTGTGCTTGGACGGACTAATCCTGTAATTTGGGGTGATATAGATTTTTCTAAACTGTTCTTGATTACATCTAAACCTCATAGTATGTCCGTCCTCCACGCCTCTTTCATCGCCTTTTTTTTCTTATCATGATACAATGCGGTTGAAAGAATCATGGCGACTTTAAAGCGACCTGGCACATGATAATAGAACAGTTTGTTCTCAAACTTGTTTCTGGTATGTTACTTTTGCGGAAAAGAATATTAAGTCGTCTCACGCCCCGTGAGATATTTTACTAGCCTGTTTTTCGATTCTGATTGCTTTATTCCGATGAATCTTGCACGATTCCACTTTATGTAGTGCCTTCCCCAGAAGGACTATTCCACGGTAATGACGGGACGTTTGGACTATACTTTCTTATGATAACACTGTAATTCACTATTAATTAATTAATTTAACTTTGAATGATCAGAACATTTGAAAGACACGTAAGAATCATATTAAATGCAGTCATTTGAAAAAAAAGTACTTATTGCAAATTGTGTGACGTGTTTAGTTTGGGTGACTGACGGAACACCTCATAATTTGTTACCGTGGAGTATGACTTCCTTCGATTCATCTCCTAAGTGATGTGGGCGGGGCATGCTACTGATCTATGAGGAAAGGCAAGAATTATAATAGTAACAGCGTACATACAATAAAACAGATGTCGGATGAACGAGTGTACAGAATTGAAGTTAACGATGAGTTATGTCCATGAGATTAACAAACATTGATGAAATGTGTTTGAAATTTTGTTAATGTAAGTGTCAGTTTCCTAGGCAGTATTGTTTTATGAAAATACATTATAAAAGCGTGTGAAACTCCATTATTTGTTTAGGCTGTTGTCTCATTTAGAATTTGTATGCCTCGTGTCCCCCTTTCTACGTTGAGGTTTTAGGAAATGCTCACATTATTGTCTAAGTATTGGTAAACTTTTGCCAAGCAAAAGCAACCTTCCACAAGATGAAACAGGTACTAACAAACATCAATCTGTCACTGGAAACGAGAAAAAGAGTGCTGAAAAGTTACATTGAGCCAATCGTATTATATGGGTGCGAAACGTGGACAATCAATATACAGCTGGAAAGAACAATTGTGGCGACCGAGTTTTGGTTCATAAGACGCATGCTACGTATCCCATGGAGAGCTAGAAAAACAAATGAACAAGTCTTGGCTGAAACAAATCTTAGAAGACAGCTTATGACGAATATAAGAAAGCTACAGGCAATGTTCTTCGGACAAACAATGCGGAAAGAAGCATTGGAGAATATTGTAACAACAGGCAAGTTTGATCGAAAGAGAGGTAGAGGCAGACAGAGGGACAAGATGACAGCATAGCTAGGAGTAGCAAGAACAACAGACACCATCGCTGCAACGCAAGACAGAGTGAACTGGAGGTCCATGATCGCCCACGCCAGTCGGCAAGGCACTGGTTGATGATGATTGGTAAACTGAGGGTGCGGTGGCATAGCTGTTAGTGCGCTCGTCTCTGAAGCGGAAAGTCGGGGTTCGAGCCTCAGTTGGGACACGAATTTTTTTTCACCCCCTCCTGCCCACCCCGCAGTAATGGATACCTGACTTCGAGTTGGGGAAGTAAAGGCGGCGTGGAAAGGAACTGGCCACCCTACCACAATATGCCGAAGGCCCAAGAAGTTGTCTCACTAACAAGGCTATCCCCAATGTCCGGATCGGATGCGGGAACAACTTTTACTGGTAAACTAACTAACTTAAACTGAATGAGAAAGATGCAGTCGTACTCGTATCTAGGCCTAGCCTACCGAATAGCAAATTTGGCGAAGCCAGTCCCACAATCTAAGCCTAACATGCAGATCCACCGTATTAATTAAATCTCGGGGCGTTCCGTTAGCCTAGTTGGTATGCTGGACGAAACAGCTGACCACCAGTGCCGGGCGGCAACTGTGAAGAAACAGGTTCAGCGTCCTCACGATGGATGATGGTCCCCGGGGACGCATCGAGAGAGGAAGACCAGTAATGTTATATCTGGAAGGTTATTCCACCGTACCTGACGGGAGCATCTGGACTATACTTTCTTACAATGGTAATACTGTAATTGAATATCAATTAATTTAATTTAGCTTTAAAGGATCAGAACATTAAAAAGACATTATTAAGATTCATATTAAATGCAGTCATTTGAAGAAAAAAAAAGCATTTTATGCAAATTCTGTGGCGTTTTTTGTTTCGGTAACTCACGGGACAGAAAAAAAATGCCTCATTTATCCTGTCGGTTACCGTGGAATAGCCCTGGAGAGAGTGGGACCATCTGCTCACAAGGCCAAAGGGCTGTGTGTGGCACTGGAGGATTTCGGCCCACCGTCACGTCACGTCGATCGTCAGTATGTGGAACTTAGAATGTTCACGATGTGCGAAGGTGGACGAAGTCAGAGCTAGGGCCACTCTATTTCTTGGAAAAATCCTAGTTATAAGTTTTAGTAATAGTTCTGTGATACTTGCAACATGATCAGGTCATAAGTGCCAAAAATGTGAGAGAACAGTAAAATTTAGATCGAAGTGGGTCGTAAAATTTAGATCGAAGTGGGTCATTCTGATTTTAATAATTCAACGGCATCAATAAAGTGACCACGAGCTAATACTTTCACCTTCTTAACACTACGCCTTTCTTTCTCACCCGCACCCCCGCTCTTTACCATTCTCTCTCTCTCTCTCTCTCTCTCTCT